GGAAAGTCGCTAGTTGTGCCACAATCCCGCATGATCCAATCGTGGAACAACATGTATCCCAGTTTTGCCAAAGCCCTCCGAAGAAGACAAGAACCCAAAGCACACCAGCCATTGCCCTTCAGAAGCACCCAAATCCGAGACTGGTCAACACCTTGGCCAGTGCCTGCCACTTGTTTTGTCACGAGAAATGCTTGCAACTCCCTGCAAAGTTTGGTCGCAAGCCAATCGGCTTCATGGAAAGATGGAAAATAAACAAAAACGGGAAACACTTATTAGTCAGGAAAGTTTAACGACTCCGACGAATGCATGCTAAGATGTGGGTTGGGGGGTAACAATTCCCATTTCCCAAGAACAAAGAAGAGAAGGAAGATGCAGTCAAAAATAACATCTCGGCAATTTGCGGGTATGCCTGGGTACCAAAGGGTGGCGCTTTTCACTTACTGAGTTTTTGCCACAGTCATGTTAAACCACTGCAGATTACAGGCACAGTTTGTGGGCTATCAACCACAGGCACAAGGCTTCTGGGCAAGCGTGGTTGTACAGCAGATCCCTACAACTTACTCGCTAAGGAATCATGTTTTGGAGCTGAGGATCACCTCCAAAGGTTAGTTGAAATCTGATTCCCCCCTATATTTGTGAACACGCGCAATCAGTCATTTGGGGGTGATCTTTTTGAAAATCGCCAAGTGGGAGAGTGAGTTTCCATGAGCAGACGAGAGAAATCCTCGGGAGCCGTCCCATCCCCACTGGCTCCAGATGTTATCTCAGCCACTTGGTTTCTTAGGAACTCGGAGATTCATGTTCCACCGACCACTGAAGTGTTTCTTCAACTTCCTGGCCATATCAGGGAAATCACCTGGGACTTGGGGTCACTGGGACCCTTTCGAAGCCTCCAGCATGTCCAGAACCGCGCGCGTTTCTATGGGCCTTGGAAGAAGCGCCCGCATGGTGTCAGGCTGGCAGGCATTCACTTTGGTGCATCCCCATGTTGCAAACAAAGGCAAAAAATCACTCGTCTAGAAACCATACCAACAGAAGGCAACATGTACTTGGGCACGCTTCTGGCATGTGGGCGGTTGCACGTCAATCTAGGACAAGTGCTCATTTGGGTTCATGATGGTTCAGCTGGCACCACACCTTCCGCAAGAAAGAATAGACACCCACATGAAGGAGCACATGTCACTCTTCCCTACAACAGGAAATTGTGCTGGAACCTGTCCCTCTGCACGGCAACAGCCCCCATGTAGAGAACCTTCGGGAGACCTCGCAGCCATCTTGAAGTCCTCTTGAGCCTCTAGGCTTTGCCTTTTGACCCTCCTACAAGTCCAGCTCTTTTGATTCCCTCAACTTTGCAAGCAGCTCCGACCTGGCTGGGGTATTGAACAAAAATGCCAAAACCAGATGGCCTGCCCCCCTAATGTAGACACATATATTGTTGATACTACAATAAATGTATATATTTTTATTCGATATTATAAATACAAATATATACATATACATACATATTTGTATATAGGGTCTGATTTATTTGGTGAGTGTGGCCAACTTCGCACCAACCACAAATCGAGCTGAGGTCGAAACGGCTGCACCTGGCGAGCAAACTGAAGCCGAAAACGCCGGAAGGCAGAACGAGCCACACGGCCCCACGCACGGGTCTTGGTGTTTTTTTCCATACCCCGAATGCTTGCATGCCCCTCCTCAAACGGCTTAGTTGAAGCAATCGAGATACAGTTGAAAACCACATGGTTGAGCGATTATGAACGCAAAGCCCTGTTTGACAAATGGCTAATTGATAAAGTTATACAATTCCCAGCTTCCCAACGAGAACAACAGCAAGCTTAAAGCTAAGTTTGCACCAATCAATCCGGTTGCTTTGCAAACATCAAGCATCTGAACTGCAAGTCGAACAGGGATCCGTTCAAAACTTGAAGCTCACGATCTTCATGGTCAATATGTTGTGCTATCGAAACAGCGTCCCCTAAATATGTGAACGTCGCCAAGTCTCCGCACCTTGACTCTTGGCAGGCACCGTGCCATTTCGCCGCTTGACACGTTATGCTGCCCAAAAAAGCCCTCAAGAGATGCCACAGTACCTTTGATGCCAAAAAGGCAGCCGAAACATGCCCAAACTAGAAAGATGAGCAAGACATTGGAGATATCATAAGCAATTGTGAATGTTGCAATGCGACATGCAATACCCAAATCTCGGCATGCAACAGCAACAACCACAACAACCACAACAACCGCAACAACCACAACAACCACAACCTCGACGACGACGATGACCACAACAACAGCGCAATCCCTGGCCGCGGCTGTATTGCCTGCTTCCTCTTGTTGCAACTTTGGTCAATTGCATTTGTTTATCGCTCTTGTGCTTGTGTTTTTTCTGCTTTTTAAATTGTTGCTTCTTCTTTGTTTTTTTTGGAGGGGGTGGACGGCCCCGCATGGCTCAGCAAGCTGCACTGTTCAACATCACCGAGTTGCCTGCACCACCTCATCCTCGCTGACTTCGCAGGCGTCGACACCTTTGCAAGGCAAAGGCTCGGGTCGTGGACTAAACAAAATGACAGATCTCATGAAACACCCAGGTCTGCAACAATTTGTTTGGCCCACCTTCTGGTTTGAAAAAGCAACAAACTCGATGTTTGTCCAGCGGCTGTGTCGACCGATAGGACCCAATGTGCTAGCCTACTCTCCGGCATTTGCTTGTCGAAAAGTCAGGGAATTAGCAAGGAGTTGGTTCAAATCTATTCCTAGATCAAGCTCCTAAAGGAGATAGGCAGCCATTGTGCAATGAGCAACCCGCGTTTTGGCCAACAGCCGTGTCATCTAAGTCCCTGCAACCCAGTCTGGGCAGCCCCGCTGTCAACCCAGGTGCTGCTTCCAGCATAGGATGTGGGCGTAGCAGGGGTGGCGGTTGTGGGAGTGGCAATGCATTCGTGGTCCTTCCAGAGACTGGCCAACACAAACAAGACATAGCATGTTTCCCCCCCTCAACATTGCCTATCAGCCTGAACCGTGATGTCCGCCTCTTGAAGACTCTCCTCAAAATACTAACCTTTGCAAGCATTGCAAAAACGTAGAAAGCGACCAAGGTGCAAACGTTGCTACCATTCTACTTCTTGAGGTTCATATTTCTGCTAGTGATGCAAAGCCAGTTGTGAGAGTAGGTCACCACTTCTCAATATACTTGGCGCGAACGGGAAAGAGTGTCCAGCCACACTCATGTTGGGCACCCAAACAGTTGTTGGTTCCTTCCTCGTTTGGCAGCTTCGAAAAAGGACATCAATCCTCGGATATACGCAGACTTTTTAGGATCACCCACTGGGAACACCTGAACGGAAAGCACAAATACTGGCAGATCAAGAGGGAGAGTTCGAACCCATGTCGAACGGTTTCCCATTCCAAAGGCGCGCCATGGAAAAAGGATTCATCCGGGGCTTCTGCTCAATTCAATTGTCCACCCAGGACACAACTGACACCGTGACTGCCGTCTCCTCATGACAAGCTGCCAGCTCCAGCATGGGAGCCTGAGACCATGAGGGCTGGCGAGCTTTCAGCTGGCATCTTCAACATGAAACCGCTGGGTGAATTCGTATAACTTGGGACCCTGCGCAATGGGTGAGTTTGCAAACCCTGCTTTGTGAGGTCGCTGGAATGTGCCCAGAGATATGGGTGTGGGTGTGCGCATTGTGATTGAATAGAGGCGGCAACATCCTTGAGAAATGTCGCTGCCCACTTTGGAAACAAAGGCAACACATGTCTTCCCATCAAAACTTGCCCTAAGGCGCGCAGGTGACAAAAAAAAAACAAAGATCCCATCAAGACAACTTGTCATACGTACAAAACAACTGGTCCTGAGAATGTACGGTGCCAAACCGGGCAATGAAAGGCTCACCCGCCAAACCGCCGAAAAGAAACCCCACGGCTGGGAAACGGAAACCACGAGGTCAACCGATGGGCGTTGAAGGGTAAAACAAACTGTGCTACATCTGCACCGATTGCTTTAATCTAATCTAAACTGAACTCTAAGGCATCTCAAAGTAGCAAGTTTCAATACATCCTGTCAGCTTGCGGCGAGAGGCTGCGTATCTGGGCAGCGAATCCAAGCGAGCTCTGCCCCCGCAACACGGGAGGTCATCTCTTGAACCGGTGGAAAAGCGAAGCGTGCTGCCGTCCAAGCTTTTGTAGGGGCTGGAACAAATATCGTTGCAAGTTTCCAACATGTCGCAACCTTGGACCCCGGAATCCCCGTTCTGGTTGGGACCTGAGATATGGCAGGCGCCTTCTGGTTGGAAATTTGAAGTAACTAATTAAACGTGTTCGGTTCACTTACGTTGGTGCAGTAGTGCAGAACAAAAACAAGGTGATGCATCTCCATAGAAAATAGAAAATACACTTCAGTAGAAAGGTAACATGGGCAAGTTTTGGCACCCCTAGAAAGGTACCCCCTCGTAAAAGCCTGTTTCATGGATTTGCGTCTCTCCCAAACCCCGGTACATCCGAGTGGATTGTGAGGGTTGCCGTAGCTATTGGAAAAGCCCGTCTACCAAGGCTGGTTGCCACTACCCGCGAATCTAGCATTGTTTAGCTTCATGACCACCGGCCGCTGGGTCAGGAAAAAGGAGGCTCCTGCGATTGCCTCGCTCAAATGCTAACACTTCCAATATGCCTCTGCAATGCTTACATATTATTGTCTCATCTGAACCGCAAGCAACATTTCAGTACTGCTACTCAACTAGTGTGTCCAAAAATGAAACAAACATCTTGCTTCGCTAGCAGCTTGATGCTAGTAGCATTGTTGCTCGCATGTCAGACACATGTTGAGAAGTTCGAAACATGCCGCATGATGGAGCGCTTTGTTCCCACCCCAACCTGTTCCTTCCCAACAGGCCAATCTTGCATGACGTCTACCATCACATGAAGCTCTTGTCAGTCCCAAGTCCAACAGCTGTAAGGCGCAATCCTCTAACCTCAGTCTCCCGCCACTTTTTCTCACCCGCTCTTTCCAACGGCCTTCTTTGGGCCTTGGCATGACACCAACTTGCTCCCAGCACTCACCGCTTGGCCAAAATGCTGTCGACCTTGTCCTCACCGCAAACGAGGTCAAAGAAACACAGCTGGCCGGGCAAACCAGAACAAACTTGGACTGCAGAATTTCCGGAACCTTTTATTGTCAAACCGACCGACGGCAACTAGAGAAGGGCCATCAACTAACCTACCTGCGGTTTCCCAAGAAACAAACATCCACCACAACCAATTTAAATAGCTGAAACTCCCTCAAAACACTGGCCGCGAAAAGCGACATCTTGGTCTGGGAGCTGCTTGAACATGTTTGTTTCCTTAGGTTAAAATAATGTCGGTTGCCAAACACACTGATACATCAGCCCAGCCATGTCGGTCTTCTTCCAACACAGGGCGCATAGGCGCATGATAAATGCGTTGAGCGCTGTGCTCAGTTGTCTCTCATGGCCATGTCCATCTCAAGACAATCAGGAAGATCATGTCTCCTCAATGGGGATCCTTATCATGGTTCCTGAATTCCTTACTGAAGGTTGATGAACATGCATATGAACCCCAAGAACAAGGGTGTTTGATGCTGGCACATACGCACATCCGGTCGTGCCGCTGCTCCCGGATCGCACTTCGGCCCGTCTCTCTTGCCTCCTTTTGGAGGCGAACTTGCACGGATTTCCCAAATAGGAGGAACAAAGAACAGCACACACACTCAGCAAACGTCTATGCCAGGTCAAGAAATAGGTTGCAAAGTTGCCAAGGTGTAGCAAAAGGAACGATAACCTCATGCAACCACAAGCAGCTCAATAACCAAGGAGATTTGGCCAAACACCACAAATTGTCCTTGGCAAAGACGAGGTACCCGTACAGCTCGGGGCCCCAGCCATCCTCGGAAGGCGCAGTGGAGTAATTTGCACGCTGAGTGAGAGGAATCTCGTAGAGTTTCCTGGGATTCCCATTGCCAGCTCGGTTGCCCAGTCCGGCCAATGGCAAGCAATGCTGCCGCATGTTGAATGCAAGGTGCAAGTGTGGTGCAACCGATTCATCCTTTTTGCAACAAAGCACAGGGAGCCAAGGTCTGGTACATGTTGCCCACCTTACACCCGCCCCGCCTGCGGTAGCGCCGCGGAGATTTGCGCCATGTGCTCCGGCGTGAGAGCGTTGATCCCTAGCGACCTGGCCATTCCCATAAGGAAAACTCAGCTAGCATACCCAACATGGAGATTTCCAGCAAATGGGATTTCCCAGCAAATGGCATTTTGCTGTTGGCTCACGTTGCTATCCAATGGGAACAGTTGGCAACCATTTGGAGATTTTCCAGATGGGTGGGCCACAGCGGGCAAGCCACACGCTACCCGATCGCTACTCACGGTAGAGAGACGCAGGCCCACGGGCCCATTTTGGAACAAAATGCGGGGCGCCTTTTTGGCCGGCGAACGGCTGAGGTGGTGAGGTGGTAGTGCATGCACTCTGATTCTTGTGCCCGTTGAACTGCCCGTCCCGTCAGCGATGTTGTTTCCGGTGCACACCCAAAACCAGAATCCCATCAACTCCTCCTGTTTACTTTATCAATACATGCGCGGCTGTCTAAACTCCTTGTATCCCGCAGTGGGCACCGCCAATTTGGGACGCCCCCATCGCTTCCCGCATGATTTTGTGTTTTTCTTTTCAGCGCATCGCTCTTACAGTCTTACATGTTGTATGTTCAATCACCGTTGTGTCTAATTGCAATGGACCCATTGCCCCAAACATCCAAGCCAACAGGCTTCCAAACACCCTTGGGGCTCTTCCACTTACAAGACCAGCTTGCGCATCAATGCTGCGGGGCGCTGCTGCAAAGTGCTGTTGCAGCGTGCTGCCGCAGGCCGAGACTTAGCGCAGTTGCGCCGGGTGCTGTTGCAGTGTGCTGTTGCACGGTGCTGCAGGCCGAGACTCAGAGGTGCTGTTGCAAAGCGCTGTTGCAGGGTTCTGCTGCAGGGTGGTAAGCCAAAACCAAAGGCTTTCTAACAAAGGCAAGTATTGTTCAGGATCCAAATGAGCAACTGGGCAACGTAAAGACCTGTAGGCATCGCTTCGGGCATCGTTGGGGCATCGCTTTGGGCATCGGTTTGGGCATCGCTTCGGCGCATATTCTTTTTACATGTTATGATGGTGGTCTAGCTTCAGGCACAGCCATACGGCACCTGGCACATCTAGCAACCAACAGCTGCCAAGTGTTGATTTGGGCTTGTCGTTTTGTGAGGGACTTGCGAAAATGGATGGTTTCTGCTTGGTGTTCCCCTGAACCTCCGCGATCAAGTAGCGCAAACAATACTCACTCTGTGTTTGTTGATGCATGCGAGAGCAGGGCATCGCTTTTGGGACGCCCCCATCGCTTCGCGCAGCTTTCTTCACTTTTGGAAAACCAATGTCCGCCGAATACGTATTCTAGATAACGCGAGTTTTGACGGTGGCTCATATATATATATATATATATATACATATATCACCCCAACATGATGCTTGCGTGTTTCGCACCAAATGTGAAATAGGCGCTGTGTTTGCTTTTTGTTCTTCCTTATCGCCTTAACAATTTGTCCCGTGGTCCTTCACATGCCGTGTGCCAGCCTTCCTATCCTCGCTATGATCTTGGATCCGTATCTAACATTTTTTAGCTCCCTTGCCCTCCGCCCGTAAACTTGCCAGCTTGGCGCAAGCAAACCCAGCAGGGCGAATTTCTGCGCGGGCTCAGGGTCACAGGAATGGTGTAGGGTGTTGGGCGGGGTTAAGAAAGTATTTGCCAAGAAACCAAATGCGACTGATTCATTTCGCACCCAACACCTTCTTAGGCCAGGGGACGTGGGAACTAAAGGACTTGCTCTTTTGTTGGTCAACAGGGATGGCCCATTGGAAAAGAGGGGAAATAGAGTGGCACCCAGAATGGGACTTGCAACGAAGAGGCTGATGCTGCAGCTATTAAATCATTGGCTCCTTCTGTGGGCTGGGTGACAACAACCCCCTTTCTCTTGCAATTGACTCGCAAGGAATATGATGTGCTTGGTCTTTTTGCGGACATACGTAATGTCCACATCTCGAGTCACCAGCCAGGCTCATTTCAATCAAACCGCCCACTGCATGGGAACGTACAGCACAAAGAAACAACATGTGGTACATCGCAACTTACATTGTGGCCAACATGTTAATGTGCCTTCAGCTAAATAAGTTGTAAGCATTGGACTCAGGCTCTGGCCATGTGTGTCAGTGTATTGACGGGGTTTGGGGGGATTGACTGCTCATTTAGAGCTACACGTCCTTGGGTCGCGTTTGTGGTTCCCTTCATAGACCAATATGGGTATGTTGTTTTTGAGGATACCTTGCTTGGGGTGGTGTCAAAGGGACCAATGCGCAAGTTCAAGAAGCACCCATGCGATTCTAAATATCTGGGCCAATGACCATCAACCAGAAGTCTTTGGACAATGGCACACATGCACCTTCTCACTTGCCCAAATCAGATTTGCACGGAAAAACCCTTTGGGGCCAGGGGCAAACAAATCCCAGAAGCCTGGAATCCAGAACATGGCAACAGCTACGGCTATTTGTGCTGAAAGATCAGATCCGTTGGCTTAAACTCACGCCAGGTGAAATGTCGGAAACCTGCTTATGGATCCCCAAGGCAGTCGGAGCGGGGGTTCCTGAGCAAGTACGTCCCGCAAACACACCTGAGGACATCTACACGAGCTGCTAAAGGGGATGCTCAAAATGGCCAACAAATCTTGTTTCATGGTCCCTGGGCAGCGGCTGTTTGTGTCCGAATCGCAGCCGCCCACAAATATCATCGAGGCGAGGCCAGCGACAAACTTACGCCTTCATGCTCCCCCACTCTTACTTAACATCCTCGCCGAAATAGACCTTTTCGGTCATTGATCAATATGAATGAAACAGACTGACCAAACAAACGCCTCATGTTCGCCAACTCAACAGGTGAGAAGCTGCTTCCTGCGACAGACTCTTGGGCCCAACAGGCGGCAACAAGTCGGCATTCATCTCCTCAATGCTTTGCTCCCTATGGATGGGTTCTTTTGGTTCAGCGACGCGGCCCTCCAAAACGAGTCCTTGGTCTCCCAATAAGAACCCACCGTTTTTTTCCGCCCAGGCGCCTTCTGTGTCTCGCTTTGTTGGAGACTCACAGTGGAGTCGGCGTTTCCATGTTCGGGAAAAAAAACACCTTTCCCTGTACAAGGTGAAGGCATACTCTGCAGTTTGGCATGGAACCCGTTCTTTTTGTTGGGGGGGGTCCCCAAACCAAAGAGCTTCCTCTACAAATGGTGGGATCCACGTTAACCTTGGGGTATTTGGATTCATCGCTTCATTCTCCTAGTACCAAACCCAAAGGGGCTTCGTCATAGGTACTCATGGCTCTCACATCAACAGGCAGCTTCTGCGCTCAGCAGCACTGCCCAAATCGCTCACGACCTGCTCAAAGACACTCTCCAGGAACCTTGGCCGGGCCCCGTGAAGGGAAATGGGAGCATTGGCTCCCCCGCAACGTAGGTTTCCAGACTCCCAACGAGTTCGAAATGCGGAAGGTCCAAAGTGCCTAAAATCTGCCAGAGTCATAGGATCACAACATGTTTCCCCAAAATCAGCCTTCCTTCACACCTTTAGGGTCTTCTTGGGAGAAAAAAAGGAGGGCTGCTGATTTTGTGGCTGTTACCCCCCGCACAAACAATGTTCAAGGTTCTGCTTGCTTGGTGGGGGAAATTTACACATGGTATCAACAAGCTGAAAACGTTTTAAGATCTAACCCAATAGCCAAGGTTTGGACTGAGACAAGGAGCCCCAGCTCTTCAAACCCGGAGCGGCCCGCGTCAATGATCCGCGCAGTCTGCAGCGAGACAGCCACCCTGAGCGTGCGCAACGCATCCAGCGCCTCGGAAACGGCCACCAACTGACCTCAGCCGCGAGCCTGCTCAAGGAATCCAACAGCTGAAAGTGATCAACGAAAGAGACGTTGCAAAGGGGTGCCAACGGCTTGCAATATTGTTGCTTGAGAATCAGACTTGTGGCTCAATCTTATATAAGTTACATAGTGTAGTGGATCTGCCGAAGACAGAATCCCCGAACCCGAGTTGCTGCTTCCAAGAAAGGTAGAAAGAGCCACGGAGTCCACAGAAACCACCCAGAAACGTCGGCCTTATGCTTGGCTTTTGGCATCGGTGCGACAGAAATATGTCTACC